GCGTCTGGTGTGCCCGCCATGCCCGGGGCTGGCACAGCGGGGTTCACTGGGGGTGGTTGGTGTGGCACCTTGGCATAGCCTCCCTTGCCGTGCTCGCCCTGCAGCCAGCATGGGAACCACATGGTAGGGGGTATCCCCTTCTCCCTGCTCCAGGCCCACTTTCCGGTACTTCACCTGGCACACGTGCCTGCTGGGCATCGCGGGCTGCTGCGTCATGATGTTCCTCATCAGCCCCGTATCGGCCTCGGTGAGCCTGGGCTTCCTCCTCCTCCTCCTCCTCGCCCTCCACTACCTCTCGCCCAGCAGCACCTGGGGCTACATCAGCCAGGCCCTCATCTTCCACCAGGTGAGCCTTGTCCTCCTCTGTTGTCCCCTCATGGGTTGGAGAGCTGGTGTCCCCAAGCTGATATCCCCGTGGCAGCTCTCTCCTGGGCAGTGTGCCTTCAGGGCTGGCATCCCCATGGGGTGGTTTGTTGAAAGAAGGAGGTTCCTCACCTGCTGCCCTCCATCCCTCACTCCCTCCCTCCCTCCAGGTGCGGAAGTACCTGCTGATGCTGGATGTGCGGAAGGACCACGTCAAGTTCTGGCGCCCACAGATGCTGCTGATGGTGCAGAACCCACGGGGCAGCGCCCGACTCATCGACTTCGTCAATGACCTCAAGAAGAGTGGCCTCTACGTCCTGGGCCATGTTGAGCTGCAGGACTTGGGTGAGGGTCTATGCTGTCCTTGGCACTGGTGGCCTCTGCCCCTCGCTGTGGTGCCGGGAGCCTCCCGAAGTCCTTGAGGTGACACCGCTGCCGAGGCTGGGCAGGGTGGGCACAGTGAGGGAATGTCAGCATTTTGGGCACGTGTGTGACCCCTTGGACTTGACTTGATATGAGGGACGTAGGTGGCTCGTGTCTGTTCCATGCTTCCTGCGTACACATGCTTGCACATCTGTGCCGCAAACTTACATATGCGTGTGCTCAACTGTTCATTCCTACATGTGCACATGGGGGTCCTGCGTGTGTCGGTACTGGCATGCACACGTGGCACCTGCCCACCCAGGCTCCTCCGAGCCCCTGCACAGCGTGGTCCCGTTGCACAGGTCAGCACCTGCCCACATCCAGCACACGTGTGGGCACACCCACGGCACAGCCTTGCCACATGCGTGTGCCTGTGTCCATCCTCACCTCATGCCTGCCGCTCTGCATCCACGTGCTTTGGGTGCCTTTGCACCCTGGCACGTGTTGGTTTGCACACGCAGGCTCCCTGGCACACGCTGTGGCTGTCCCCATCCCCACCTCAGTGGATGCACAGGCTCTGCTCCCCCCTCCCCCCGTTGCCGTGGTGACTAATGGCCTGAAATTGGGGAGGGGGGATGGAGCTGCCTGCATATTTTTTTATGTATTTATGTATAATTTCATATCTCTGCCTGGAAGCACCTGCTTCCACCCTCCCTGTCTCGTCGGTGCTGGGGTGGGCACAGGTGTTGGCACTGGTTTTGCATGCGGGGTGCTGCGGGGACACCAGGGTGAGCCCCCTGGTATGGGATACCCTACCCCCTGATGCTGTTCTCACTCCCCACCCAGATGCGCTGCCCTCGGACCCACTGCAGCCCCAGCAGGACTCGTGGCTGAGCTTGGTGGACAAACTGAACGTCAAGGCCTTCATCAGCCTCACCCTTGCGCCTTCAGTGCGTCACGGTGTCCGGCAGCTCCTCTTCACCTCCGGCCTTGGTGAGTGGCACCCGGGTTGGGCACGGGTGAGGGTCTACCCCACTGCCCCTGCAGGGTGAGAAGTGCCAAGGGTTTTGGAGGCAACTGGACGGACGATGCCAAAGCCAAGTTGGGGCTTGGAGGCATCTGGGGTGAACAATGATAAAACCAAGTTAGGGCTTGGAGGCGTCTGTGCCAGCAATGTTGAGGGACTTGAAGATGCCTGGACAGGCAGTGCCAAGGGGGTTGGAAGCACCCAGTGTAGGCAGTGCCAAAACTAAGTTGGAGCTTGGAGAGGTGTTTGTTGGGCAATGCCAAAGCCAGGCTGGGTCTTGGAGGCATCTGGGGGAGTGATGCCAAGGAGTCTGGAATCACCAAGGTGAGCAATGCCAAAGCCAAGCTGCGGCTCGTTGGCACCGACAGTGCCAGGAGGGCTGGTGGAGCCTTCCACCTCTGCTCAGCCGGGCTGGTGCGGTCTCTCTGGCAGGTGGGATGCGCCCCAACACCCTGGTGCTGGGCTTCTACGATGACACGGCACCGCAGGACGGTCTAGCCCGGCACCCTGCCTTCACCAGCGCCCGCGAGGAGGTCCCCCTGGGCTTCCCCCCTCTGCGGGCACCCACCACCCCCAAGCTGCTCTCAGCCCGGGAGTACGTGGGCATCGTGGCTGATGCCCTGAAGATGCTTCGCAACGTCTTGCTGGCCCGGCAGCTGGAG